GGTTTCCTTTGGGACTTTTGAGCAAGAGCCTCGCTCATGCCCCTTATTGTTTGAGGAGCCATCCACATACAGAGTCTACCATCATAGGTCATCGAGCTTTGGCTTCTACTGCTTGATTTCTCATGAGGTATTTGCCCCTGGCGGGCTTAGTTCTCCTTTTGGCTGATAGGAGAATTTTGATATGAAATCCGCCAAAGCCTAACCCTTGATTGCCATTCTCGGGATGTACTTGATATTATGCTAACTCATTTCTATTGTCCACTAGATCAATATGCTCTATGCCTCAAGCTTTTGCATTATTTTCTTCAACGGAAAGTTTGTCAGCACGTGAATGGAGTGCACCTAGAAATAAGGCCATAGCTTCCTGACAGCAATGACAAGGGCATAGGTGAGCTTCTCCATTTCAAGGTATCTCGTCTTAGCGTCGAGCAGCCTCTTGCTCACATAGTATACCGACCACTGCACTCCCCCTTCTTCGCGTACCAATGCCGCACTGATAGCGGACTTTGATACCAACAAATACAATAGCAGTGGGCCGCCCTAGACGAGCTTTGATAACAAAGGAGGTTGTCTCGGATGTTTCTTTAGCTCTTGGAAGGCTCTCTCTCACTCCTCTATCAACTTGAAACCCTTCTTCCCCTTCAAGGTCTCAAAGAATGGTAAACATTTGTCTATGGCTTAGGAAAAAAACCTGCTGAGTGCGGCCACATGCTCGTCAAGCTCTGTACCCCCCTTATGTTGGTCAAGCCTTTTATGTCTAGTAGAGCTTGAATCTTCTCTGGATTGGCTTTAACACCCCGTTGATTTACAAAGAACTCCAAGAATTTTCTCGAGCTTACTCCAAAAGCACATTTCAAGGGATTGAGCTTCATTCTGCATTTTTTGAGGACGTCAAACATTTTCCCCAGATGCTCAATGTGGTTTTTAGCGACCTTTGATTTGATGAGCATGTCATCAATGTACACCTCCATAGTTTTGACAATTGGGTCGACAAACATCTTGTTCACCAAATGGTAGGTCGCCCCAGCATTCTTCAAGCCAAACGACATAAACCTGTAACAGTAAATCCCACGGTCAGTAATAAAAGAGGTATACTTTTCATCGAGCTGATACATTAAGATTTGGTTATATCCCAAGTATGCATCCATGAAGCTAAGTAATGCGTTTCCAACTATCGCATCTACTAGTTGGTCGACCCGTGGTAGCAGAAAGCTATCTTTGGGACATACTTTATTCAAGTTTGTGAAGTCGACACAAGTTCGCCACTTGTTGTTCGACTTCTTAACCAGGACTGGGTTGGCGAGCCAATTTGAGTACTTTATTTCTCTAATGAAGTTGATGTTCAGGAGTTTGTCAACTTCATCTTTGAGCGTTTTAAAGCGCTCTGCATCCATAGACCTTCTTTTCTATCTTATTGGCCTAGCTTTTGGGTCGATGTTCAACCTATGACACATTACCTCGGGGCTGATCCCCACCATATCCCCATGCACCCATGCAAACACGTCGAGGTTTTTCTTCGGAAACCCCACCAGATTATCGACCATTTCTTTGCTTAGGCTATTGCCGATCTTCAGTACGCGAGTTGGATCTTCCTCGCTAACACATATTTCTAGTAGCTCTTCCGTCGGCCTTATTACTAGCTCTTCTTTATGAATGCAAGGATTTATGTTATCCTCAAGAGGTCTGCGGTGTGGCTTAGATTCTATAATAACCATTGTCCTTGGGAGTGGCCATTTTAGTGCAACATTTATGGCTCGGTTGTAACATTCCTGAGATTCTTTCCTGTAGCTTTTGATCGTCGTGACTCCCTCGGGAGTTAGGAACCTTATTGCTTGGTAGTGAACTATTGTGTCTACGCTCAAATCATCCAAGATCGGCCTTTTGAGGATGACGTTATATGTGGTTGGGCAATCTACCATTAAGAATTCAATCATTACTGTCCTGATTTTCGGTTCTACCCTCCAAGTCACGGGAAGGTCGATCGTTCCCTTGGGGATTAGGCTGTTCCCGATGAATCCATAGAGTGGCGAAGGACGCGCCCTCAAGTCCCTCTCTGTGAACCTCATCTCTCGGAAGGCTCCCAAGAAGATGATGTTCGCTGCACTTCCATTATTGACCATCACCCTTAGTATTCTAGCATTACCGATCCTGGCTGCGATTACGATTGCATCGTGATTATGGGAAGGGGATTCTTCACATTCTTCAACAGTGAATCCTACCACCTCGCTCTTATGTCTGGGCCACTTTGGTGGCTTCTGTTCATAGCTCATAACCCGGGGTACCGAATTTGTTCTAGCCTCGCGAGCATATTACTCACGGGTGTGCCTTGAGCTTTCCGCTATGTCGAGGGCCTTGTAAATCATACCCACCAGGATATCATTGTTGGCGTTGGCTAGGGCTTGCTAGACCTGGTTATTTTGCTCGCCAATATTTTCGCGAGCTGATGCCTCCTTAACAAATTCCTTTAGATGGCCCCTCCGTATCAGGTCTTCGATGACATCCTTCAAAGCTCGACACTCGTTGGTGTTGTGCCCAATGTCTCGGTGGTATTGGCAATATTTTTGTTGATCTCTTTTGCCCAAAGCCCCCCCCCCCCCCCGGTTCTTTCTGGAGCGGATAGTCTCTTGGCCTCACGGGAGACTTCATAGATGTGAGCTATGTCTTGCATGAGGGAGTATATTCTGAGTACCGCAGGAAGGGCTGCCTATCTCCGCGGTTATCTATTTTTGTCTTTTTTAGGACCTGTTCTAATCCCTATCATTGCGGTCTTGGCCGCTCCGCTTATCTGATGGGCAATCTTGTCATTTGTTCGGGGCTTTTCGTGGCGAGCTTCTAGCTAGGGCTATTATCAAGCTTTCTACTCGTTGGTGCTTTGCAGCCATCTGATAAAACTTCGCCAGACTCACATGATCTTCACTTTGGAGCTCTTTCCACAACTACGTGTTTGGCCTGATTCCTGTAATTAATAAAGTCTGGATTGACTTTTCAGGTGCATCCCCGACCTTTGCTTGCTCGTTTTGGAACCTCGTTAAATATGAGGTCAATGTTTCGCTCTCTCCTAACGAATATTGCTTAAGTAACTGAGCAACATTGCGAACTGTCTCCTCGCTTGAAATTGCTACAAGTACAGCGAGGAGAATTGTTGCTAAAAACTAATGGAGTTCACCTTGAGTCTTTTATACCACCTCTTGGCATCCCTTACTAATGTGACTGCAAAGCAGCGACACTTCGCCAAGTCACAAACCTGTTGCAGCTCCATCAGGTCATTGAAATTATCGAGGTGGTCCCTAAGGTTTACTTTCCCGTCAAACTTACTCTCCGGTGCCTTGAATACTTGTGGAAGTGGGGCCTGACGAACCTCCTCTGTGAAAGGGGAACTCAATATTTCTTCCATCGCACTGTTTTGGCGGGCTCTTAGATCGTCGAGCATTTTTTGCACACGATCTAAGTCTTCATTGTGATCGCTCTGGCTAGCTCTGTTCAACCTTACCTCGAGCAAGTGAGTTCGCAAATCTGTTGCTTGTGAACCCCCTCAATTACGCTCATTCTTGCGTGAAGTTTGAGTCATGATGGCTTGGTTGATAAGTGCTAACATGCTCTTCAGTGTGTTGCTCACGACATCGATTATAACTGGAATGTCGGTCATTGCCAGATTGACGCACATTACTTGTCTCGCAAGCTTGTCTTGGGCGTGGGTTAAGATCGGCATGCTGATGTTGGGGATACCATCGAGCAGGTCGAGCGTCCTGTGGGCGACCATTACCTTCGCTTTCACCCATTGGTTGTTTCCCTAGCCATCTCCTAGGATTAGTTTGCCCACGAGACTCATGCTCGTGAGCGGAGTGCACTCTGTGACGTTGGGGTTGTTGGTCACCCCTTGGCACCGATGAGCCGGACTGGTCTCCAACTAAATTCTGACTCATCAGGGTGGTATCAGTGAAGCGTAGCTGGTCAAGATTTTGGGTGGTTGGTTGTTGATTTCTCAATTCAGCCATGTTTTGTTGCACCGCTTGTGCAACAATGGTTCTGATCATCTCCACCAATTGGCCATTTTCGAGGTTTGACATCCCTACCCTTTGGTTATTTGTGACATGTTGAGTTGGCGGCATTGGTGACCGACGCCCAGCGGCGTCCTGTTGCACCTCTTGATTGGTGGTCTCTACATTGTCGTGGTTTCTGGTGGTGGTTTTCGATCTTGTACACACCATCATGGCCCTGAATTGGTTAAATCACTATGGCTGTTTGCCAAAATTTCTGAGGGCGAAGGCTCTTTTTCTAGCGCCAAAATGTTGATACAGAAATCTGCACTAACTAGAGTGATCCGATCAACCTTGGCGGGATCGGAACTGGTGTGTGCGTGATTACGAGTAACCAACAATGAATGAATAATGAGTGCAGTAAAGTCAATGGCAAAAAGATTTTTAAAGTGGTTCGGCGAGATGAACTCTTGAGCCTACGTCCATTGTTTTTTGTATTTGCTATGAGAGCTTACAATAGAAATTCTAGGAATATTTTCCAACCCCTTTCTCATTGTTTGAGGGGGTTCATATACAAAGCTTGTACAAAGGAAAGAGCGGAAATAAATGGATTATAATTGAATTGAAATGCAACTTCGATATTTTTGCGATTGGGCGCTGTGATTGCACAACGATTGTTGTCAATCTGATCCCTTCCAAGATATCTTGGATCTGAAGTTATCTAGGAATTGATTGAACAATCGCACGAAGTGTTCGCGACTAGCCTGTGTTGGGTCGAGTTTATGCTGAGTCGGATAATCGGTGAAGTCGAGCTGGTTTCGGATCGGGCTATAATCACGTGATATTCTGAGCTTGATGGAAAAATAACACACAACACTTAATATTTTAAAAATTTTAAAAATACGTTTGATACAATATTCAAAAAAAAAAAAATTCAACTATAAAAATATATAAAAACATGTTTGATATACAGTCTTGAAATAATGAAAAACTTATTGTTATTTTATTTGTTCTTACCAAATATTTTAGAGTTAATTTTTTGTATTTTCTTTTCCCTTTTTGTTTCCCATCGAAAACGAAATTATCAGCTCCCAAATCAATAACGTATAGAAGCAGATTAATTCTCCCATTTCTCCTGATTCTCTCCCTCTTCTCTGGTAACTTATTTTCTCTCCCCAATCGTTTCTCTCCGAAGTCTATTCTCTCACGAATCGTCTCTCTCCGAAACAAGGATTTCTGCAATCCTGTTGTTGGACTTTAATTTATATAATTAATTTTCACTCACACTTTAGGCGATCATATTAAATTTCAATCCATTTCTTGTTTGAGTTCAATTAGCTGAATCGTGTCGAAAATCACTTCTCTGAATTGTCGATTACAAGAAAGGTTTGTTACTTAATACCATTCTCCGCATTTTTTTTTTTTAATTATCGTGACGTTGTTTTCCTTTTGCTTTCTAAATTTGTTAATATGATTTTGGTTATTGTGTGTTGTGGCTGCTTTCACTTTGCTCAATATTCAATGTTTGCTACTTTAATTGGTATATGGTTAATGTAGGAATTCAGCATTGTTTATTCAGTCGTTACTAGTTTCTTTGTGTGAAGATGTGATTTATGTGTTTGTTTTCAGGGAGGTCTGTTTCCCGGGAAAATATTCCGTGACCTAGAAATTAATTTTGTGTGATGTGATAAATCAAAATTTGATTTAGGTTACTTTAATTATTTTTCATAAGAACACAGCATTAAGATATTTTTCTTGGTTGATTTTGTTAGAGTGTGATGAAATATTGGTAATTCAATTTCCGATCCATTGACATGTTAAGGAGTAAACATTCAATTTAAATTTGTTTGATTTTGATTTTCCTCACAAATTTTGGTTGTGCTATAAATTGCTGTGTTAATCTTTGCAGGCACTTTGAGCAGAATCTGATTCTTTTAAGCTTCAATTTAACAAATGGTATGAGGATCTTTCTAATTTTTAATTTTCTTAAACATTTTCTATGTGTTGTTGGGACTATTCATCATTGGGTATTATTCTCTTGTGATGATAAAGCATTAAAATAGGATGTTATATATTAAACACATAAGTTATTAATCACAATTTGAACTTAAGCTTGCTAAATGGGTTCAATGGCCTTCAGGGTTTTGGAAAACTAGGAATTTGAATAATTTTTGCTTGGTGCCTTAGTTCTAGGGTTTATGTAAGTGAACAATGTCTTTTCAGAAGTTAGAGATGGTGTTGTTTTATAGGTTTATCACTCAAGTTTTGTCGATGAGGAAGGAGTTACTAAGGCTTGTGGATGTCCTTTACTTCCTTTGAAAAGCCATATAAAGGGTCCTGCTCCAGCTTCCGATCAAGGTTATATTTTTATCTTATTTTCTAATATTTATTCTTTTGGTTTTGTTTGTGGATATTGACACGTGTTTTGTGCAGATAGAACTGATATTGTTGATGAAGCTATCACATTCTTTCGGGCAAATGTCTTCTTTAGAAACTTTGATATTAAGAGCTCAGCTGATAAGCTTCTTATATATTTGACATTCTACATAAATGTGGCTTTGAAGAGGCTTGAGGGCTGCAGAACCTTGGCTGAGGGAACCAAAGCCATCATTAACTTGGGCTTGGAAAAGGTTCCTGTGCCTGGTGAGCCTAATTTTCCTTTTCCAGGCCTTTTTCCTCTTCCTCAATCAAAACAGGAAGCAGGTAAAGCTCATTCATGTCTATCTATGTGTTTAGTGTTACGTGTATGTCATAGAGCTTATTGCATTGCTGAAGAATTTGTATAGGTTTTTTCAAGTTGCATCATTTGTTTCATTTTTAATTAGTCATCTTATTCGCTGTACTTCATGATTATATTGTTGCCTTTTAGAATTTTACTTAAGATGTTTTTACCCTTATTTGTTATACTAATTTCCTTTAATTTTGTAAAATAATCCATGCTATATCTCTTCCTACATTTGCCTTGTAAATTTCTTAGTTTCAATAATAATTTCACCCTTAAATGATTATGATCTGTCTGTTATCTCAAATTATTGTCATCCATGTAGTGGCTTAAAACAACCCTCCCTGTTGTGTTTTTCAGCTTGTTTCTCTGAATTGAAGAGTATATGTGAAAGAAGGATAATCATGAGCATAATCAAGCTGGTTTTCCTTGTTGTGTCTTCAGTGTATTTCATTATTTCTAATTTTCTGGAAGCAATAAAACCATACTTACAATTTTTTTATACAACTCTGACGTGGCAGCTCGCAATTAGGTAGACGGGACCCACTGTGAACTGACCTATCGTGAGTTGCCACATCAGGGTTGTATGAAAAGGTTATATGAAAAAGTTGTAAGTGTCGTACTGCTCTTCTGGAAGATACTTTGCTGAGACTGTAATGCTTGCCTTACAGTCATGATCAATATCCAATTATGTGTAGTCACTTAGTGAATCTTCCCCTTGAATGATCGATTTTATTTTTGGCATGACCTATTGCATCATCATATGGCATTACAGTTTGAAGTTCTTAATAAAAGTTGTTCAAGTTTATAACATTGGAAAATAGTTTCTTTTCTACTAGGCGTTTAGGTATAAAAAAAACCAACATTTTATTTATCTGTATGCATTAATCTCAATCTAGAATTACTTATTTCACAATCATATTATTGTATGGTATGTTGGCATTTCTGTAAACTGTCAAATGTTCTGTTTCAGTCTAATGCACAATCCCTGGCACAATGGGATATGATTGGCTGCTTTGAGTGTACTTAGACATTGATCTGTTGATTTGTTTTTAAATTTTGGAGTCTAAAATGCAGAGCTATTTAGGAATTATCTGAAGCAGATAAGAGAGGAAACCAGTGGGAGACTGTTGAGTGTTACATATAGACCCAATGGCACTCCAAATAAATGGTGGTTGGCATTTGCCAAGAGGAAATTCATGAACATCATTGTTCCTTGAATATATTGCTGTATATCCAATCAACTGGTATCTGCCTGACGAATTCTTCTTATGGTAAGCTGTAAAAATTCTGTTGCAGATCATTTGTAATGATAAGCTGTGAATTTTTTTTTTGTTTTGAACTGTCTCTTGATCCCCAGTGTTGAAATCTTTTTCATTGAAGAGTCTATCTTGTATTGGTAGTTAAACTTGAGAAACAAATGTTTAACATATTTATTGCCAACTTCATTATATCTTTTCTATGGAAATATTTGTTCACTTTTTCTTCATTTCTCTTTGAGGGGAAAGACAAGGGAGGAAGAAAGGATAGGGATAAAAAAAGTTGCATAGGTTGCATTGTGGATAATTTGGTTTTGAATGAAGGCAGTTCGCAATCAAGTTGAGGGGTTACATTTCATTTTTTTGACATAAGAGATAAGCCATGTATTATTTCTACTTAATCCATTGCCATATCAATTTCTGATGTCCTTTTCGGTTGAGTATTAAGATTATCAGCAGTTTAGGGTTTGATATGATTTTCATGTTATGTAGATAAGAGATACACATGTTCCTTGATGTTCATATGGACTGTCATGCACTGCTAAAGGTTTGAAGCTGATAATAGGTTTGGAGGATGTCTCTCTAGAATTATATGATCTGGGTTTAGCCTTTGATGTTGAAAAACTCTGGTTCTTTGTTTATATGAATTCAACTAAACTTTGGCCTTGTTGAAATTCTGAAATCGATACAACTGATTATGCCTTGACCGTATGCCATTCTATGTTGGCGTCTGATAATATGATGCACTGAATATGAGCTGTATTTTCTAAGGACCTGAATAATTTTTGTAGAAAGAAGGCACACCGTTGATAATTAAACGAAAAAAGAAAACAACTCTTATTTACCCATTATTCATAATTATCATGTATTTTATTTGCACGGTCTTATGAAGTGCGGGTGAACGTAGACCTAATTGTCATGCTGTAATTTTGTTGGTGTTTAGTAAAAGCAGTCTGTAAATTTCTTGACTTTAGAGAGATTCTAGTGCTCTGGATATGAAGAAGTTTAGATAGTATTGGTTGGTAACAGGGGTGNTTGTAAACGATCCTGTTATTTTATTTTTCGTTTCCGCTGCGTATACGGGACCGTTTACTAACAGTGTCACCAAGTCGCAATGCCATAGGTATTCTATCCGTTGCGTGACCGGTGTTCGCTAGTCCCTCGGAGCCCTTTGGTCCACTGCTCGCCATTTGTTTCCCCTTACTCTTATGTGCTGCAGTGTGCGCGATATGGGCCTTTGCCTTTTTAAGCGCTTTCACATGACTTGAAAGTGTCTTTGGCGACAATACCACTTCGTTAGACTCTGACAGTATGACCCGGTCCAAACGGTCTAGCCTCTGGCTAACCGTTTGGAGAGTATTGTTGAACCTCTCCAGGTAATTCATCAAGGCCTTGTCGAGTTGTGAGCTTGAAAGAATATCCGCCATGATACTCTGCTGGACTGGCGGTACTTCAGGAGAAGTGTCATTCTCTACCTAGGGGATTTCCTCATTATCGAGATTGATTCGCTCAGTTTCGAAACTGCGAGCCATTTGTTGGTGGACAGGATCAGTCAGAGGTTTCTGATGAAGAGCGGATACTAAATCAGGCCCTCCTTCTACCGCCAAACTGTTGATGCTTGATTTTGACACCAATTATTCATGCGTGTGAAGTGCTATGCGGACTTAGATATCACACGTGGTATGGAAGCATAAAAAGAGATATTGAACGGGTAGCACTTTTTAAAGTGGTTCGAATGCTCTAAGGTGATTCATACATCCACTGTAATTATATTAATGGGTGATTACAATCAGGTCGCACTCGCCGAGTTGGATTACAATGGAGAAAATAAATGTAGAGAGGGAGAATGGGTATATGTTTTGAGCGGCGGATGAACCAATCCCGTAAAATAGAGGAGAGCCCTCTATTTATAGTTGGAGGATTCAAGCTGATAATCATGATTCTACGTGCGGGCAGGTGTGGTATAATTCCTAACCTACTTCCCATTGGTTGTCTGCACGAGAGATATCCTTAAATAGCGTAGGGCTTCATCAGGTGGATAATTCCTAGCCACTCATAAGCCTGACGTTCACCTACCTCACTGATGATGGCCTTACCCCTTTCGTCCTTACGGGACGTGGCTGCATCCAGATGGCAAAAAACCTTCCTGAATTCTGATTGGTCTTTGTTGATTTAAGCTCACATTAGCCCTAGTTTTTTGGGCATAACAAATGTAAAGACCTAAAATTGAGTTTGGGAATAATTATGTGGGGAAAATAGCACAAGTTTAAGACAAAGAATTTTTGGCTCTTTAAAAAAGAAAATTGAATTAAGGGTTGTTGATGCCCAATTTTGTCAAGGCAGCTTGCAGAGGCCAAAGCGATTCCAAGGCTATCTCACACTCCGAAAAAAGGTACATTGGGCCCCATGTCAAGGTATGTTCTCTTAACCCTTTTTGAGAGACTGACAACACCAAGCAGTTTAATGGTGCATTTTGGTGGGTTATCATGTGGTAGGACCAATGTTTTAAAACCTAACCCGGGGCATAACCTGGCAAAGTTTCCGGGTCCCAGGTTGACCCGTTGACAAAAAAATTTAAAATTCAGCAAATACACCCCTAAAAATTACATGTAAGTCCCTATATGTTTGAACTTTATCAAACACACCCTAAATGCAAATCGACCGGCGACTGATTGGCAGCGGTGACACCCCAGATGCAAGCCAATCGTCCTTTGAGCCAATTTCCATTAAAATCTACCTAAGATCTGGCTGAAATAGGTTCGATTTCGGCCAGATCTCACCAACGCTGGCATGGGTATTCCAGGCCAGATCTCATCCACGCCGGCGTCGACAACCCTCCCCATCACCCAAGAATCACCCCTCCTCCTCCCGACCAAAACCCACCTCACCCTACCTCCGTTAGCCTCTCCAATCGTCAGCGAAATCCCGTCGTTGCCGCTGCCAGATTTGTTCGAGTTCCAGTCTATTTACTCACCGGAAATCAACGATGTCACCACCATTACATTCAACGGCGCTTTATCTTCAAAAGCCCTAAGATTCCGGCCGTCAATTGTTTGCCGATCATCCACCCAAATCCTAGGGTTTTAGGTAAATAAGAAAAGTATAAACCTGGCCTGTTGAAGCTTTCGGGTCCTAGTTGAACAGGCCGGGCCGGGTTTTAAAACAATGGGTAGGACAGAGGGTCCAATTAGGCTTACTAAGGCCGAGGTACTTTTTTGAATTAGGGCCACTTGGGGATTCTAATGTGGTACTTTAATCTTAATAAGCTACAAAAATGATAACAAGGCACAAGTATAACTTATTTTCAAAATGACTTTCTAAATTATAAAAACTTCCTAAATTAGCATTATGTGTAATTATAAATGAAATTACAAGTTTTTCCACATTTTTTACAAAAAAGAAAAAAAAAATTCCAAGATTACGAAAAATATCCCCGTTTTAACAACTTGTTAACTTTTAAGTGCAAAATCGTGTTTACTGATTTTATATTTTCTAAAATCTTATAAAAATAGTAAAAAGCTCAATTTTTAAATTTCCTAATTTTTGGAGGGATATTTTATTTTATAAAAATGTTTCTTTATTAAAAGTTTACTACTTCAACCTTCCAAGCCCTTTTTATTTTTTATATAATCAAAATTCTTTATCTTTTAGGATTATTATCCTAATTGTTTTATTATTCTTTAAATACCTTCCTAACGAACCTAGTTTTTTATTAAGAGTTGCATCCATGCTCGGGTTATGATTTATCAAATAGTTTGATTGCTATCGTCATTATGCATTGTCTCCATAAGTTTTATCTCTATCAATGGGGGATTTTATTAAAAGACCATTTTAACAAAAAATTTAATTAAAAGGCTATAGAGTTTGTAAATTTTAACTAAATGGCCTTGTTTTTTATTAAGCTTAATTAAACATGATTAGGAGGTTAATTAGGATTAATGAATAATTGTGTAATCTTTTGAAAATTATAATAAGTCTCCAAAGAGTCGAAAATCTTGCAAACAAACCCAAACACCTTCTTCTTCTTCCTCCCGCCACATTAACGCATTCCTCCGCCATTAACATCTTCTCCAACACATATCCTCCTCCTCCTCCAGCTACTGCTGAAATTTCGTCCAGGTATGTGTATCTCCCTTTTCGATTTACAAAAATTTAATGATGGATTGGGTTTGGGTTATGATTTTGATTTAGTTGTTTAGGTTGTTGGGTTATGTTTGATGTAATGAAGTTGAGAGGAGTGGAATTTGTTGAAAATTTTCTTGCATTGTGGGTAGCTGGGGGTGGTAGCACCGATTGTAGGTGGAGATGACTGAAAACGTGTTCTGGATATGATGGATCACTTAAGCGATCTGTACGTCTAGTAATGCAGTAGATAGATTGTTTAAATGATCAGGTATTTGGCATAAGATTGCTTAAGCGATTTGCTAAAAGCCTGTGTATAGCAGCAGATCGCTTAAGCAATCAATAAATTGCAATGGATTGCTTAAGCAATCATGCCTATTTACACTGGATCGCTTAAGCGATCCATTATATCGCTTAAGCGATCATGCTTATTTACACTGGATCGCTTAAGCGATACAACAGATCTGTCAAGCGACTATGCATATGCTTTTTAAAATATTCCAACCCTTAGTACATCAGTTAAGAATATTTTTTTTCTTCCATTATAGGTAGTTGGCTATTATTAGACATGGGACAAGTTGTTTTGGGTGTTGAATATTTTGGTGAGTGGGTTAAGGAAGAAAGTAGGTGAAAGTGGATTGGGAAGAGCAAAGAAGTTATACCAATTGCTGTGATCACAGACGTTAGTTTTGATGAGTTGATTGACGCAATAATTAGAAGAGGTGATTTGAGTTGCTCACGCAGTGATATAGTTGTGAAGTATGTTTTAAGCAGAGTTCCTGAACATTATAAGGTACCTCCTACTATATTAAAGTCGGATGAAAGTGTGAAGTTATATATGATTGATGTGGCCGATAATGGTTCGAGGCCGATTTTAAGGATTTCTTTTGTAGGAAAACCGTTGGAAGTTGGTTCAAAGGAAGGGGATACCGAGGAATTTGTCAGAGATTTGCCTGGTTTTAATTTGAACTACGAGGGCATTGATTTGTTAGTGGAAAAATCAAGAGTAGACGATGAATTGGGTGGTGAGGAGGACATTGTAGAAGAGGTTGGTCATGGGCGGCAAAATGAAAATGTTGAGGAGGAGGACCTTGTACATGTTCCCGCAGATGTAGGGATTCCTTTAAATAAAAATTATGCAAAAGGTGTAGTTTGTGAGGAAGAGAACACTATGGTCGTTTATGCAAGTTCAGAGGGGGCAATTGCAGGTAATAGTGAATCAGCTCATGTTTTTACGGATGGATCGGAGTTACGCATAGGGTATTTATTTGACAACAAAGAGGAAGTGGTAAGGAAGCTAAAACTTGTTACGGTGAGAGGTAATTTTGAGTTCATCACCAAAAAGTCAAATTCAATATTTGTGATGGTTGCATGTTGTGACTGAAAGTGCAAGTGGCGGGTTTATTGTAGAAGGTTGGCGGAGTCCAAAAAATTTATTATTAGCACATATACCCATGAGCACACATGTGGTTTTAGACATATTTCAGGTGAGCATCGAAAAGCCTCCGCTGATGTTATTGGACAATTTGTCAAAAGTCAATTCGTTGAAG